ATAGATTAGGATGAAATGAGGCATGGGTCATTTACAGGGGAATTTAATTGCCGAGCCATTAGACAAATAGTATATTTGCCGTTCCCGCGTTATCCATCATTTTCGACATCAATACCGGGGCCGCATCGCCCCGTCCCGCGGCCGCCCGGCGTCGGCTGTAAACACTCCCTTCCCTGCATCCTCTGATTGTGTCTGATTTCATTTGGGGCCATGGGGGATTATAAATGTTCACGCAATCAAGTTCATTAGGACTTCAAATCGCATTTCTGATTGGGATCGCTCTGCCGCCGTCCTCCGAGCGCCTTTCAAACCCCAGCGCGAGGCTTTCAGAGCATCTTGAATTCAAAGCCTCGCCTCCTTTTGTCTTCCGACGCCCCCCTCCCCGCCCCCCTGCGGCGCCCCGCGCTCCCCCGGCCTCCTTCCCGGAACCGCCCTGAGCCCGCGTCGCCCCGGGAGCGGGCCGGGGAGGGTGGGCCGGCCCCGGCCCCGGGCCCGCGCGGCGGGGGCTCCGCAGGCTGCGCGCAGAACCCCCCCACGACCCGCCTGAGCCCCCCGTGCAGCCGCGGGGCGCTCAGAACCCGGGGCCTGAGCTGCGCGCGGAGTCCGGCCCGCGTGTTCGCGGGTCGCAAGCGGGTGCGAGCGCCACGTCTCCCGGCCCGGTCCCGCGCCGCGGGGAGCGGGCCGAGCGCCTCGGGCCATGGAGTCGCGGGGCCGCGGGCCTCCGGGCAGCGATGGGCCCGGGTTATGGGGACTGACTCCCGGGACCCCTTCTGGGCCGGTCCCTTTCACTCCAAAGACCTGGGTGGGGGCGGTACCCAGCGGAGCAATTCTTCCTTCCTATTAGCAAACCCAAGAAACAAAGGAGGAGGCTCTTCCGGGGAGATGACAAGCAAGGCTCAAGACATCCCTTCCAGCACAGTTGAAAAATAATAGCTTAATATTAACGGCTTCTCATAAAAATATACTTTCGCAGATACAGTTACAAGAAGAAAACCCTCATTTCATCCCCGTACTTTGCGCTCATCGCTGTTAGCTGCCTCAGTAATTTAATTGGAATGGAACGTGAGAAATGTGTCATTTTTGAAGAATTTATGCATCACTTCCTAGAAATCTCATTGTGTTAACTAGGAGCCTACTGCGTTCTGTTTAGAACCCATAATCACATTTTTATGTGTCTGTATTACGAGTTAATGTGACCTCCTGTCTTTAGCAGATAAAAAAAATGTTCTCTTGCCATAACATCTGTATCAAACTCCAGCTTTCATCAAACACACGGAAACCCTGTTTTTCCAATGATCTCCAAACTTACCAACTTTCTTAAGAGCAAGGAAAAGAAATGTGAATGGAAAAAGTGCCTACCGAATGAATAATTACACACCAAATTAAAACCCTGCATTAAACATAGTCGACAGCACATACTGCATTTTCAATCATGTTTATTGCTTACAAATTGCATTACAAAGAAATCTACTCTTTTTATTGGAGTGATTAAGTCAAGAGTGTTAGGACTGCAGAAATACCATTCTGGAAGATTAGATGCAGGCTGAAAACCCAGCCAGTTACATTGCAATGGTAAGTGTATAATTTTGCTAAAGAACACGTTTAACACACAAATGAAGTTTGGGCTGTCATTATGGCATCATAAAAGAGTCAACTGAAAATTATATTTATTTATAAACACATTGCCTATAAAATGCACATATTTAATACAAAGGAAGCAGGCAACTCCATAATCAATATTTTAATTACTGAATTTTTTATGATGGCAGCGCAATTCTGTATGATACTTGACGAATCTGTAGTTTCCCTATGCTCTCCTTCCCTTTATCATTTGAGCTAAAATCTTTCTTCCTGTTTTCTTTCTCTTTTAATTCTGGGGAGAGCAGGTTGGTGGGCGAGGTTAAGACCGTTTGCTTATGGCGCCACCTGCAGGAATCTATGAAAATGAATTTCAGTACTTCTGCAATATTCCATAAGGCTTTAGATGCGCAATTTTATTAAATTAATTTTTCTTTTAACATAGGAAGATGTTAACAATTTCAAGACAAATCCTGGAGTTTGAAAAGCATTTTGATGCTCCCAGACTATACTTAAATCCCAGTAATAAAATGGAATATTGATCATAGTTAAAACTTTGGGGCCTCTGAATATCCCAGCTACACATAGAAAATCTGGCTAAAGAATAATTTATCTTTGAAATGATGGAACGAAAGATACAATACTCCTGGTGTACCACTTGGTCCTTAGGCAGCCCTTAAAAGATGAAAAGCACTTGGCAAGATAATAGCATTCGAAACTGTAGTGATTGAGCTACTTCTCAGATGCTCCATGTGGACAGGAGGCTGGGGCACTGGAGTGGGACCGGCTCATTCTGCAAGCCTATATTTTACACCATTTCTGTAGAAGGTTAAGTGCTCTTTGCAAAAGTTCAACAGCCTGCCCCATCAGCATGTGTCTAAAAGGTTATTTCAGAAATTGGAAATTGACAATTATAAACAGTTATTGGGATTAGCAAATGCTCCTTAGACTTAAAAGTATCACTGGCTTTGATTTTCTTCAAACCATGCTGAATCAATAATTATTAAGTAATTTAAAATTAAACCAACACAAAAACACCAAAAAGACAGGTCCAATGCTGGGTTCAGATTTTTAAACGTAACACGTCACACAGTGCGTGATCTGTGTACCAACTGCCCGTGGGCTGTGGATTGGGCACTCCAGCTGTGACCATTTCATCCTGTCCCAGGGATGGTTGGTATGGACAGAGGCCAACCTTCCCAGGACCACTGTTGGTGGAGAACCTCATGTGTGTATTTTTGAGTTCTCTGTTGGTCAGATGACAAGTAACAATCAAAGATTTTCGATAAAACTGGAGGGAAAATATTCTGCTTTAAAAGTAGAAAGAGCAGATATGAGCATAATTCACTCTTTTGTTACCTTCTGAATTTTGAGCCACGTGAATGCACCATTAAAAACTAAATTTGAAATTAAAGAAAACGATTTAGGCCTTATAGAGTTGAGTTTATGTAATATTTACTCGATGAGAAAAATGACGTTCAATGTGAACTGTGTACGAAAGGAAAACATTTTTAGACCCTTTAATAAAAAAAAAAATACCAGGATGTATTTTGTTCACTGGAAAAGAAGTAAGCTGGGAGGATTCTAGTCCTGAAATGGAATGCTTTTTCAGACCTTCATCTCCACTAACCGACCCCCTCTCTCCTTCTTCGCCTCCCTGCTTCCCTGCTTCCCTCCCCTGTCTCGTCTTCTTCTTCTCCTTCCTCTCCTCCTCCTCTCCTTTCTCTTTCTGTCTTATCTACGTGGAATTGTCCAAGTCCCTCAATTTAGGAACTTCCTAACACCTGTAGCATAGAGCACAGCTAGGCGTAGTCACTGAAACAATACATTTTTTGGCAGTTATTTTATTTTTTGCCTTCACAAAGCAAATTGCTAGCAGTAAATTCTACAGAACTATGAATGAATTCCATCCCATTTGATGATTAAGATAGGCCCAAACAACCACACCAGTCATTTTTTATCCCATAGTCATGGCCATAATTCAGGAACAGTATTCAGCACATCTCAACAGCCACCGGAACCCAGGTGACTCAGAACTGATTTCTAGTGCCAACTTGCTTCTTACTAATTCTCTTGCAGCCATGATGTCATGTTCCTGAGAAGCTGGGGGCAGGGTAAAGGACTCCTGACATCTTAGGAGGTTCAGCTTATTGCAATGTGACTTTTGCACCTGAGTCCATGTGGACCAAGAGCGCTAGGCTGGAGGTCTGGATGCCGTATTTCGTACGGTGTTGACTCAGTGGAGTGGGGTGAAGGGAATACTTGTCGTGGAGATCGATTCCTGAGCCAGCCAATGCATCTGCTTCCCTGAAAGTGTTTCTGCAGAAATTTTTAAAAAGCTGGTAACAGTAAAGCCATGTTATGAGCCTTAAGGACACTGAAGTTGTTAAGGTCCCTGAAAATGGCTATAACAACAATAAAAATCGATTCCTGGCCAGGGACACTGTCTCTCCAGTACCTCCCACACCCGAAGCCGTGCATGTGAGGTGGACCGGCATGCCTACATGGTCCCCATCGGAGTGTGGGTGTGCATGAGTGTGCCCTGCGGTGGAACGGCGTCCTGTCTAGGGGCGGTTCCCGCCTTGCGCCCTGAGCTGCCGGGATAGGTTCTAGCCACCCACATCCCCGAAGTGGGATAAGAGGGTTGGAAAATGAATGAATGAATGAATACAAATTATTGTAAAATAAAAATTCCTGAAGCTATGATAGCCGTCCAAGTGCACGACAATACATGCTGCAGTATGACAGTGCGTTGTCTGCGACTGTTTTTGAGTGCGTGGTGGTAGGAGGTGCTTCCAGCACGGCTCCCTCTGCCAACATTTATTCCTTGATTTAATCCACCACCACCGTGGCCATGGTCACTCACCGACGCACTGAAAATCGGGCAAATAATTTTACTTGTTATTAGTCTTTCTTAAATGCATGCGTAGCTCACATCTATTTCAAGGTTTACTACCAGAAGTGTTTCGAGTCTTTATTTTGTAAGTTTGGTGAGATGTCTTTGTGACCAGAAATATGCTGTAGAAACTTAACTCTGGTTTGTAAAAATTAGCCTGTGGTAAAGCTGTTTTGCTTAAAGCTGCAGTTCCAAAGAGCCTATCGATGGTGACGATGAGGCCTTGCTGTGCCTTTTAGTTTAACTTCCATCAAAATGCACTTTCAAGACCAAGCACTCTGGTGTCCCCGGTTTCACAGGACACTCGCAAGCAACCTGGGAGGCAGGAAAGGCTTTTATTACCGATTCCACCTCTGGGTGCCCCCGAAGCTCGGCGAGGTTGGTGCTTCCGCCAGTCACACAGGAGCACGAGGGGGCATGGGGGTGCCACCCTCATCCGTCCACACCCAGGGCGCGCTCCTCCACACACAGCCTCCACGGACCGGCAGAGATGAGAACAAGAGCCGTGGCTGCCACGTTCTGGTTTTCAGTGCAAGACACCTTCTGGCTCCAAAAGTAGATAATTCTGCAGGGACTTCGGCAAGGGTAACAGGGGTATGAGGTCAAAGCACTTTTTGCCAAACAGTTTGCGAAGGGCGCAGCGGCAGAGATGCTGCAGGCAGCGTGGGGTGTGGGCCAAGGCGAGCAGGGACTGGTAGAAAGGCTTGTGCATCTGGAAGGGAAGGCACGCAGGTCACAGACCGTGCACGTCGGGCCCACACACATTTCCTTCCTAGCCCGCCCCTGCCTGGACCCTCCGTCCTTCCCACGGCTACCTGGTCCCAGCGAACCACATTGGGGAGGGAAGCACCATTCTGTGGCCACTGTCCTCTACCAAAAGGGTCTGTGACTTTTCTAAAGCTCAGTTCCTGCCAGGTCGTAGGCAACTCTGTTTTGGGTCCCTTCAGGTAATACAGGTAGAGTCTCCTGGGATCCCGTTTTGCCCCAGTTTTGCACAGCAGCCCTGCAGCTGCGGGGGTGGCCCGATTCACTAGCCCAGTTGTGACGAACCCTTCCCTTTGCCAGTGAGGGGCTCGGGAGTGGGCCCACGCCCGTCGCAGTCAGTGCGTGGTATTGCTTTGGTGTTGCGTAGCGTGCACATGGCTCCAGTCAATGAAACAGGAGGGGAAATTTTTCTAGAGGCTTCTGAAAAAAAGTGTTCTCGCTCTTTTTTTTTTTTTTTTTGAGACAGAGTCTCACTCTGTTGCCTGGGCTAGAGTGAGTGCCGTGGCATCAGCCTAGCTCACAGCAACCTCACACTCCTGGGCTCAAGCGATCCTTCTGCCTCAGCCTCCCGAGTAGCTGGGACTACAGGCATGCGCCACCATGCCCGGCTAATTTTTTCTATATATTTTTAGTTGGCCTATTAATTTATTTTCTATTTTTAGTAGAGACGGGGTCTCGCTCTTGCTCAGGCTGGTTTCGAACTCCTGAGCTCAAACAATCCACCCGCCTTGGCCTCCCAGAGTGCTAGGATTACAGGCGTGAGCCACCGCCCCCGGCCCTCACTCTTTTTTAATGAACAGTCACCGTGGACTTTGCTGTGTGTAGATGTAATGCCCACAGCTGCCTTGGGCATATCTTGAGCCAGGAGAAGAGGATGCTACACTAGGCTGGCGTGTCCTGAATGGAGCCAGAACCATGGATTCGGGGGGCTCCAACGCCCACCTTTCTTTGGACACCGGCTGGGGAGCCCTGACCTTCCTCAGGCCAGCATGGGGCAGCTTTCTGCTCCCTGCTGCCGACAGCACCCTGACTATAGTGACGGGCTCCCGGATGGGTGACTATTGAGCCTCCTATGCAAATACGCCCCAGCTTCCCTTTCTCCTGCCTTCTCCAGATGTTTTATACTTGCCCGGATATCAGCAGTTTCCTCACCTGAAATACTTCTTCCGGAATCACCTCCCTCCAGGACTCTGACACGCGGAGCTGAGGGTAGGAGTTGAAGAGAACCTCAACGACCGCCGGGGACGGGGCACAGGTCTTCAGCACCTGGTTGGAAGAGGCGAAGGACGGCGTCGGGTGACTGGGTTTTGGGTGCAAGTGGGGAAGGGTGGGCAGAGGGGGGGGTCTGTACCCTCTAGCTGTGTGACCTCACCGTGCCCAAGTCACACAGGGCACAGCAACAGCCACGGTACAACAGGGCTGCCGCAGGGGTCGAATGAGTTCACGCACAAAAGGACACAGGTAACGGCTCTGCAAGGGGGCCCTTCTTTTCACCACGGTGGCTCCTGTGAAAAGTCTGGGCAAAGTATGGCTGCTCAGAGAAAAGAAAAGAAGTTCTGCTGGGAGGAAGTCTGGCCCAAGGATGGTGCTTCCAATTTTTTACCTCAATTTTCTAATATGTCAGGAAATTGAGACTTGGGGGAAATGAAGTGTTTCGCTGCTGCATTTCCTCTTCACTTGGCCTTTACATTTTATTTTTGCAGTCCCCACTGGCAAAGATTCCAATTTTCTTTTATTTTTTTAGAGACAGGGTCTTGCTCTGTCACCCTGGCTAGAGTGCACTGGCACGATCATAGCTCACTGAGCCTGCAACTCCCGGGCTCAAGCGATCCTCCCACCTCAGCCTCCTGAGTAGCTGGGACTACAGGCGCATGCCACCACACCCCAGTTAACTTGTTCCATTTTTGTAGAGATGAGGTCTCCTGTGTTGCCCAGGCTGGTCTCAAACTCCTGTCTTCAAGCAATCCTCCCGCCTCGGCCTCCCAAAGTGCTGGGATTACAAATGTGAGCCACTGTGTCTGGCCTGATTCCTATTTTCTTATTTGCAAATTTATAATTCAAGTCTATCAGCTTCATCATAAAGACGGGAACGCTATTTGCTTTTGTAAAAAACAAAAACAAAACCAAACCTTTTTAATTATGGAGAAATTTGAACATACACAAAAGTAAACTGAATAGCATGATAAACCCCCAGGTTCCCACCATCGACCCATAGGCAATCCTGCCACATCCACTCCCCCAGTATTATTTTAAAGCAAATTCCGTGTATCCTACAGTTTCATCTGTAAATAGCTCAGCACATCTCTTATAGGACCTTTAGAAGAAATATAAAAATATCATTATAACACCTGAGAAATTAATAGTTTCTAAATATATCTAATATAGAGTCAGGGTTTAAATTCACAAATTTCTCTTAAATGCCAGGATATTAACAAAATATTTTGTTTGTTTGAATAACAATCCGGGTAAGCTGACACAGTGGGATTGGCTGATACGAGGTAGTTTTAGGTTTCTCTTTTTTGTTTCATGTGATTGACGTATTGTAGAAACCGGGCTGTTTGTCCAGTAGAGTTCTCCTTGTTGGGGTTTTGCTGATCTGATCTCCGTGTGGTTCGGGAACATGCTGCTCTCCCTCTGTTTCTGTAAATTTGTAGTTAGATTTAGAAGCTTGACCAAACTCAGATTTGATTTTAGAGAGGGGCAGAGCAACTTCATAGCACTCTTTTTTTTTTCTTTTTGAGACAAGGTCTTGCTGTCACCCAGGCTGGAGTGCAGTGGCTTGATTAGAGCTCACTACAGCCTCCGATTCCTGGGCTCAAGTCATCCTCCCAGCTCAGCCTCCCAAAGTGCCAGGATTACAGGAATGAGCCACCGTGTCCAGCCTCTTTTTTAAGTCTAACATTTGCCAAGTGTTATAAAATTGTTTTTCCTATTTCCTGGTTGAGAAAGCTGAGGTTATGGCAAATTTCTGAGACCAGCCATCCCATAGCTGTGGCAGACGATGGCCAAGCCAGCAGTGAGCTGGACTCTCCAAACACGGAGTCACCGGGAAGGGAGCGTTTAAATCACTCACAGCTGCTCACTCTACCACGCGCCTCCCTGCTTCAGTTTCAGATCGAAACCCCTTTAAAATACAGAAAGACAAAATAACAAACATTCATATTTTTTTGTTCAGAGATAACCACTATTAACATTTTGTGTATACTGACATGTTATGCATTTAGACAAAAAATTAATGTATGGTACATGACAAAAATGGGTGAATGCTTTGCAAATAATTTTGAAACTTGATCTTTTTTCCACTCAAAATAGATTGGGAACAATTAAAAAATGAGCATTTCAAGATCATTTTTGTAGCTATATTTTATTTTATGAAGGTATCATAACGTGTTCAATGAATTAACTACTGTAAGTTGCCTTAGTATTTTTTGATATGATAACAATGGACATCCTTGAACACAATCCTAGCTCCCTCTGCCCCCAGCCATTCTTATTTAAATATCTACTTGAATTCCTGCAAATAGAGTCACAAGGTCAAAGATTATGTACATTTTAAAGCTTTTAAAACATACTGCCTAATTATATGTGCATAAATTGGCATACTTTTTGAATAACTGAGTATGAGAGTGCCTCTCTCTCCCCACCCAAATTATCTCACTAATTATTTGAATTTGATGGGTACAGTATAGAATATTTACTTTTGTTTTGGTTGACCATTGTTTTTCTTCCTTTGTGAACTGCTAAATTATATCTTTTGCTTATTTTTCTATTAGTGTGTTCATTTTTTTCACTGATTTATAAGTATACTTTATTTGTTAAATTTATTTTTCAGGTAGATAATAATTTTGCAATTAATGCTATTTTTTTCTCCTCAATTTTCATATTTCTTATCTTATTACATTGGAGCTTTTAAGTTCAATGTTAAATAACAACATTAATAGCAAGCACAATCATCTCATTCCTAATTTTAGTAGGATTGTCTCTAATGTTTTGCCATAACCATAATCTTGGATATTATTAATAGTTTCAGCTAGATACTCTGTTCTATGTCAAAGAAATATCCTTTAATTCCTAGGTTGCTACAAAGTTTAGGATTTGATTTTATTTTTTGCCTTTTTCTAACCAAGTTGATACAAAAAGATTTTCCAATATTGACCCATTTTTGCCTTCATAAAACAGACTCTATTTGGCTATTCTTCTGTATATAACTTACATATTATAAATTTTAAAAATATAAAATATAATTATATTATATATGATAGATATATTATATATACCATGCAAATGCTATATAATTATTATATATAATATAATGCCAGATTCAATTTGCTGAGATTTTTGCATCTTTTTTAATAACTCAACTTGGCTTATAGTTTTATTTTTTTGAGCTACTTTTGTCAGGTTTTAATATCACTTTATGTTAACTTAGTAAAACTATCTGAGAAAATTTCTGGTTTTTTTAATACTTGGGAAGATTGATTTTTTTTTTTTTTTAGAGAAGGGGTCTGGCTATGTTGCCCAGGCTGGAGTGCAGTGGCTAAGTCACAGGCGTGATCATCATAGCTCACTGTCATCTCAAATTTGTGGGCTCCAGTGATCCTCCGGCCTCAGCCTCCTGGGTAGCCAGGACTTCAGGCATGTGCCACTGCACCTGCCTAATACCAGGGAAGATTTTAAAAAGTAGATAATTATTGGAATTGAGAAGGCACAATAGATCTTGCATTTGACATTGTCTAAGCCTGGCATTTAGTTGTAGGTAATAATTTAACATTTTCAATTTCTTTTATGGTTATTGGCATATTGTTTTGATTTCTTCTTGAATCAATTTTGTTAATCTACATTTTCCTGGAAAACAATCTTCATTTTAAAGAAATTTAGCATTGCATATGTATCAATAAGGATCCAATAGGAAATGGATATTAAGTTCAACATAGGATTATTCCAGAAGTGTTTACTGATACAGGGCCTATTTAACCAGGTGTGTGTGCAGGGGAACCGACAAGGGTCAGGGCAGTAATGGTAAGCTGGTGGCAGAGCCGTCACCACCGCTGGGCCTGAAGCGTGAGTCAGGTGGGCTGTCGTACCAGATGCAGCAACCCCTGCTTGGGGACACACAGCTAGCCTGAAGCAGAGAGTGCCAAGAGAATAAATCCTCTGACCTCACTCTCCTTTCCTCCCTCCTACTTCAGGGACACCAGACTGGCTAAACCCAGCTGGAAGGCAGAGGCCCAGGAGCTTGTAGAATGAGGTCCACGCAGGTACAGAGTAAATCTGGAAGGGAGATATCTCCACTATATCTATGAATAAGCACACTTTTCTCATTCGAAATGCACCGTAATTGTATTTTCAATGTTTTTTTCTTGTTTAGTCTTGCTTGAGATTTGTCTATTTTATTTTTTCAAGAAATCCATTATTGGATTTTGTTGATCAGTTCCCTTTTAAAATATTCTAACACATTACTTTTTGCCTTTATCATTATTAATTCCTTTCTCCCATCTCCTTAAGTATGTTCTGTTTCTCTTTCCAACTTCTTGGATTGATTGCTCAGTTAACTTAGTAACATTTTTTTCCCTCGTATCATAATAAAAGGAATTTTTAAAATGGTATGGATTTTCCTTCCTTTGAACATAGGTGTGGTCATAGCTGCAAGTTTTAAAGCACAGTTCTCACTGTCTTAATTAAACAGTCTGCAATTAAATAACTATTGATGCAGTAGTTATTTGGGAGTGTGCTGTAACATTTTTAAATGGTTATTTTTAAAAATGAACAACTTTTTACTACTAACTTTCATGTGTGTTGCAATATGGCTCTAAGTGATGTCTCTTGGGTGGGTACTAGAAGAAGTTGTTATTTTGTTTAAAGTTCAATACATATTTGTCACATTTCTGAGTTGGAGCTTCTGTACTTTTTTTGCCTACTTGATCTGTGAAAGACTGAGATATGAATTAAAAATCACCTAGAATTATTTTTTCAGTCAATTTCTCCATTTTAACATAATATTTTTTGGTACATGAAGTTCCTGATGGTTATCTCTTCACTGTAGACTGTGTCCTTTGTCAGTATCAAATGAATCTTTTCCCCTCATTTTGTGCATTTCCCTGGACTTCTTCTATTTGTATATTGATATAAAAATACATTTTTTTGGTTTGTTTTTGCCAGAATTACTTCTGCTCACCTTTTTTTTTTTTTTTTTTTTACTTTGCTTTAAATGTGTTTGAGAGTCTCTGTATTGGTAAGAAGGTAGTTTAAGCAACTTACATTTACTG